ATATATATATATATACATGCTTAAGGGGGCCTGGAAGATGGCTCCATGGATAAAGATGCCTGCTGCCAAGCCTGACCACCTGAGTTTCATCCTCGGGACCCACATGGTGGAAGGAGAGAGCCTAATGGTGAAAGTTGTCCTCTGACCTTCACTTGAGTGCTGAAGCATGTGTACACACAAATAAATAAATGTAATTCTTTAAAAATTAGGCCTTTCACCTCCATATGTGTGATATAACTACCGTACCACCGGAAAAAAAATCAGTGGAAATTGGAAAAAACAAAACAATGTCTTGGATTGTTTTAAAAGGAAATATGTTCATAATCTGAGTTGAAAGAAGTACCAAAAATGTGATAGTTGACAGAAATATTAAATATTAAAATGGGCATTTCCCACTTCTGTACATTCAAAAGTTTTTTTTTAATTATCTGGGGCTGGAGAGATGGCTCAGTGGTTAAGAGCACTGACTGCTCTTGCAGAGGACCTGGATTCGGTTCCCAGCTCCCACATGGCAGCTAGCAACCATCTGAAACTCCAGTTCTAGGGAATCTGAAACCTTCTTCTGACTTCTGTGGGCAGTGCATGGCGCAGGTACCCATAAGTACATGCAACCATCTGAAACTCCAGTTCCAGGGAATCTGAAACCGCCTTCAGACTTCTGTGGGCAGTGCATGGCACAGGTACACGTATGTAATATACTCATACACACAAAATAGAAATAATAAAATATTTTTGAAAATGTTTAAGTATCCAACAGCAAAAATGGTGTCTGGCCTGAAAATGTATAGACATTCTCCTCTGTCAGCAGTCCCTATACAATGTAGCATAACAGCTTTTTACATAGTAACTACATTATGTTAGTTATTCTAAATCATCTAGGTGAGATTTAAGTTATTCAGGAAGGTATGCTTAGATTATAAGCCCCTCTGTGGGGGCTTCTAGAATCTAAGCCCCATGAATATTTCCAGATATAACTGTATTTACTTTCTGGCTTGTTACAGAAACAGTTTGCTAACCCTTATTCTAAAAGGCCAAAGGTATCATATGTTCATATGTTAATTTTGTGCTAGGAGTGTCTCAGCCTCTCTCTCTCTCTCTCTCTCTCTCTCTCTCTCTTTCTTGCTTTAATCTCTGAACAAATTAAGTATCCCTTTAAAAATATTTACTAAGGGTCCTGAGATGTAGCTCAGTTGCTAGCGTGCTTACCTGACATGCAGGAAGGCCTGAGTTCCACCACCAGCACAGCGAATAGACACAATGGCAAATGCCTGTAATCTTAGCACTGGGGAGGCAGAAGATCAAAGTCATCCTCAGCTACGTAAGTTTGAAGCCAGCCTGAGATTCATGAGACCCTGTCTCAAAACACATATTTTTCTTTTTTAACTTTATCCTTTTGGGGGGTAGTGATTTGGTTTTGTTTTTTGTTTTTTGAGACAGGGTTTCTCCGTAGTCCCAGTTGACCTGGAACTTCCTATGTAGACTAGGCCAGCTTCAATGTCACAAAGATCTGCCTGCCTCTGTCTCCAAGTGCTAAG